TGCTTCCTTCTCGATCTGACTGTAGTTACGTTCTGCTGACGTTAACGATCTAGCCGCATGTGATATCGCTTTCTCGGATCCGTCTGGCATGATGTGAGAAATAACTGCTCCAATGCCGTAGTTTGATGCGTCTGATGCCACTACAATGGGTAAGGATGGATCGTAATGGGTGAGCAGCAGTTCCGAGACTAGTACTTTCTTGATTTCATCGAAAGCGGCTTGGCAAGTTGCAGACCAATTCCATTTTACATTCTTCGACAGAAGGTTATTCATGGGGGGCACGTAATGAAGGTTCGGAATAAAAGCTCCATAATGGCTAACTAGTCCCAAGAAGGATCGTAGTGTGGGGACATCCGTCGGTTTGAGTGTAGTTTTCACTGCCTGGGTATTCTCCGAACCTGGTCTTCTGCTATCTTTGTCGATTATAAATCCAAGGTAGCGTACTTTTTGCATACAGAAGCTACATTTCTTTGGACGAAGCCGGAGTCCATATTCGGCTATTCGCGACAGCACCTGGTCGAGCTTCTTTTCTAAGTCTATTCTATCTACTCCCATAATTATTATATCATCTAGGTAAGCTGCAGCACCTGGGACATCCTGTAGGATAGTATCCATTATTTGCTGAAATATGGATGGGGCCGTCTTGACTCCGAATGGCAGTCGATTATACCGGAATAGGCCCTTGTGTGTGTTTATGGTAAGCAAGGTTTTAGACTCGTCAGCAACAGGGATTAGTAAATAGGCTTCTGATAAATCCAACTTTGCGAAAAGCTTACCTCCATTCAGTTTAGCAAGAAGATCTTCAGGTAAGGGTAATGGATACTGATGAGTTTCTAAGGCTTCGTTCAACCCGGTTGAGTAGTCGGCACATAAACGGACGCTACCATTAGTCTTCTTTACTACTACTATCGGTGCGGCCCATTCTAAGAAATTCACCGGTTAAATGACACCCAGTTTCTGGAGTCGTCCTAGCTCTTGTTCAACCACTGAGAGGGCAGCATATGGTACGGGTCTTTTAGGACGAAACACTGGTTTTGATCCCTGTCGAAGGGTAAGAGCAGCCTTAAATTTAGTGCATTCTCCAAGACCATCACTAAATACCGTTTTATGTCGTTTTAATAATGCTTCCACTGAGTTTTTCTCATCAACTTTCGACTTGCTGACGTTATTGCAGATTGAGTTTATGGGGCGGTCTGTTAACTTCAACTTTCCTATCCAATCAAGCCCCAATAAATCGAGTGATGGACGGTCTGTCAGAAATATTACATCCTTCTCCGTGGAGTCTTTGACTGTGACTTCACAATGAATCTCACCAGCTATATTTAGAATTCCCCCGGATGCACTATGTGCTAATTGATGAGTTGAATATATTTTCGGTCTCCCAATTTGCTCCCACGTTTTCCTGCTTATAAGCGTTATGTCAGAGGCTGTATCTAACTGTAAGCGGGCATCGTACCCATTAATCTTGAGAGACACATACTTTCTACGGTAATGGGAACCAGCTTTGTGAAGAGCTACCGTTACTTTAGCTGTTTATAGTTTGAACCTTTCAGAATACACTTCCGGTTGACGGCGTTTTCGGGTTCTGCAATGGCTTTCTTTGTGCTCTTTTCTGGAACACACAGTACGACGATGCTTTCTAAACGGACAAAACCTTTTGAAGTGCCGACCACCACATAACCAGAATGTGGACGATGGTTTGTTGCTTTCATTATGATAATTCTGAGTGCTGGAACCTTGTGAGATTTTTTCTCGACTGCATTGACATGAAGCAACCGGTTGCCGTTTTCTACCATCGAGACATCATGTTTCAGATTCACTAACCTTTGGCATTCGGTAGCTACTTCCCGCAGTGTCATGTTGGGGCAGTGTTCTAGTTTGCTTAGAATTCTTGTTCGGATATCAGCATCCTCGGGTGAGCGCAGGCTACAGATAAATACTAGGCTTTTAATTGATCTTCAGTCATGGAAGACAATTTGAACCTCTCACATTCTCGATTCACAATTCCTGCATGCTTCACCCAGTTATCTCCTGGTTCTTTCGTTATTTTCAAGCATTGATAACGGATATTAAATAGAGATGATTGTTCTCCGAAGATTTGGGACAGGGTTTTGACTGTTTCATCAAAACTAAAATTTCGTGGATTCTTCGGCAGAATGAAGTTGCTATAACGTTCATGTTCCATAGTCCCAAGTTTTCTCAGAAGTATTCTGACTTTTGAAGCATCATCCAGTTTGCAGAGATCAATGTAAAACAAATCTTCATACTTCTTAAACTACGACTTAAAAGTTACACCTGCTACATCATCAAAATTAAACTCATGGATGGCGTTAATGACTGAATCAGTATGTGATACTTGAGACTCACTAGAAGCAGGGTTTCTCTCGGACAGGCAGGATTTCTGCATTAGGGTTTCCATGATTCTAATTTGGGACTCTTCGAACCTCTTTTCTTGACGCACCTTATAGGCTTCTAATTGCTCCAAGGAAATATTCATTGTAGTTTGCGTCCCCGTCGCCACTGATAAGTCTTATCGATTGAACGCTATGTTAGTTTCCTAAGCTATTATGGTACCCCGAAAGCTAGAACTGCACAGCGACTTGAACACCAGAGAGAAGACGCAAGTATGAGGGAAAATACTTTACTCCGAGGTTCATTTTATTACAGAAAATATAGGGTTTTTTATAATATATCTAAATGTCCTTGGGTCGCTGGAATATTCTGGAATGCTACTAAACATAGTAGCACTGTAGTAGCCAACCCATCAGAGCTTCCGCATGTGACGTTTCGCTACCTTGATATTTCTGGCCAAGACTCCAAATGAACGCTGATTGGACGAAACACTTCTTAGTGATTCTTGCCTATTTTTTGCAAGCGATTTCTGGATCACCCCAACAGTAACCAATGCAATTCTGTCTCGTCTTCTAGCATTAATTGAATTCCATTGAATAAGTTACAATGGTGTTATATCCCGATGAGATTAATGAAAGGTAACTTTTGAGAACTATTTATGGACCATATATTTTTATTGTATAATTATTAAGTAGCTAAACTATACATATTCATGTTCGCCTTATTAAAAGCTCTATTTTAACCCATAGACTATTATTATGCGATTTACCGTTCTTGAATTATACCCAGTCTATAAATAACGGTCTCCCACATTCACAGCCACTTTTGGCTAAATCTTATACAAACGTTATTTTCTATTTTGATGGTGCGATGTGGTCTGTCTGGTTGGTGTATAAACCCAGTATGTTTGAAATACATGATTCATATCACAGAGGCTGGGATTGGTGTTCTGGATTTAACAGGCAGTGCTAGGCAAGAGGACGGACCGACATGGACTCTAGACTGTTCGTACGTGTTTACGTGTCATTGGTCCGGTCCGACATTGGTTGTTAATTAGTTATACTGTATTTTATATTACCGTGCTGATTCATACAGAAGCAGAAAATGACTCTCTCTCCCGATCAATTGCTGTTGTTATTTTCAGCAACAACAGCAGCGTTTTAAGAAGGGTCAGTTGGAATTGATAGACAAATTGCACACACGGCTGCTGAATCATCCAAGTGTTGTGTGACGGTAGTTGATGAATCTATTCTTAAATTGCGTAAAGAGCTGGAAAATGATTGCAGAATGGATGAATGTGTCAGTGAAAGCCTCCATTGATCCTTGACAAGCAGTAATTTAAATGAAACAGTAGCAGTCATTCATGATCTGCCCAGAGGTCTAGAAACGTCCATTTCAGAGACATGCTCTGTAGTGGGTTCAAATCTCATTATCCCCGAACGACAATGTTCAAGCAGTGACTTGTCCATCTCACAGAAAGACGGGGTCTTGTTAAATGCTGTTGAAATTGTTGAAGTACCCGCCCATGAAGAAACAGAAAATAAACCGAGCAGCATAATGAGTACAGCTGCACCAAATGGAGCTCATCATTCTGCGACAAAATTCCTGACGAATCTAGTTATCGGGATTCTCTAGTTGTTTTACCAGGTATGGGTTATCTTAATGATTCACATGTTCTTGATGAAATTTCTTCTAAAAATGAGAAAAATATGTCGGATACACCAAATGATAATCAAGAACCTAGATCAGACCTAAGGACTAGGAGAATATGACATTGGATACTACCAAGTAATCAATCGGTGTATACGACTCGGGCATACGTGCCAGTTACATCCCTGTAAAACTGAGTTGTCGGGGTTCGAATTCTATAAGGGGAATGAACAATTTTAATAATACAGATGCGCCTCGATGACAAGCACTAACTGGCACGAAACCTAATTCCAGGGTTTTCCGCCGAACACCTTCAACCACCTAACACTAAGTAGACAAGCACCAGGTATGGGAAGAAGTATTTTAATGAATGAAAACAAGTTTTTTCTGTAAGATATAAGAGCATGCACATTTATACAAAGAAAAATTAAAAAAAAAAACCGCTCACACACAAACAAGGAATGCCTAATTAAAAGTAAGATCCTTGTATGCTTGATAATTTTTAACCATTTATCAAGATTGTTTGTATTCTTATAAAAACAATCAACGAAAAAAGAAGGAATAAAATCACATTTGATATAAGACGTCATACAGATATCGATGAGGATGGTACACACGAATATGGATCCTTGTGTTGTTTTCATATATCTACAATATGTACTGACAGATTAAGTCAAACAAAAGGCAGGTTAGTAAAATGTATGCAACTAACACATGTGAATCAATATGTCGACATAGTATTTTAATAAGTTGTTTACTCTGATGGACGAACCACTCTTAAATTGTTTATTATAGAAGAAAAAAGAAAGGTAAGTAGACCACTATTATATCTGAGAAGATAATGATGAGTGGTAAAACGCATGATGACATAAGGGTGTTAAGTTGAAGAAAAAGAATTCTGAAAATTATATGCTACGTTTTATGGTTATTAGTGGCATTGCTTCATTGGTACTACTATCAATAATAATAATAATAATAATAATAATAATAATAATAATAATAATAATAATAATAATAGTAGTAGTAGTAGTACATTTATTAATATGCATTTAATCGAAAGTAATAATTAAGAATATAAAATGAATCACTAGTAGTACTGAGACCAAATGACACATTTCACTGTGTATTAATACTTAAATAAAAATTCTATTGTCAATATCCTGTAGAGGTAGACAGAAAATAGAAAAAAATCCTAACTAATCTAAAAAAGTATTTGACGAAATAAACGAAGATTTTTATGAACGTGAAGCTCTAGATCAAATGAATTGAAGTACATACACATCACTTTAAGTCATTGTACAAATTTCGTCTTTTTATTTACTAAAATCAATATAATTTAAATGGTATGTTAGTGAAATGAGGAGTAATTTTTTTCCATCAAAATAACGAACAAACAAATACTACTATTCTGTTGTTATAATAGTTTCCTTACTTATTGTCAAAGAATGGTGATATATCATTTTGTAGAATGATATTATGTAATTAACACAAAGAGGAAGAGAAAATGGTGAGTAATATACAGATAACAAAATAAAACACATTGTAAGTTAAAAAATGAAACAAAGTAACAACATAGAAATGAAGAAAAAAACTCACAGAGAAAGGCATGACACAAGTGAAAATGAGACGAAATAAAAGCATTATAAGCATAGTTCACTGTTTATCTACATATTCACTTGCAAGTCTAACGATAATAATAATAATAACAATGAGCAATACTGGTATACCTTGATATTTTCATAAAGGGTTAGGCGCTTTACATTCAACACAAATTATTATTATTGTCATTATTGTTGCCACGCTCAAAGCTATAAATATTAGTCTCTTGAATTATAAAGTCTCCGGTGAATAACTCATGAAAATACCATGGCAACTGTTCAGTTGTATTGCCGTAGGCTTTTTCCACAAATAAACCTTGGTTGCACAACGTAATTGAACGCAATTCAGTTAAAGCCATGAGAATCCTCGGCCAGTACTGTTGTTGTTGTTGTTGTGAAATTCCATTGATGTTAACTGAACGACTTGACATGTTATTATGATTCATTCGATTGGAACGAATTTTTCGAATACGATTAGCATAACGATTGAACGTCTCCAATAAAATATCCTGAGTATGTTCGACAGTTTCACAGTCAGTTAAGCCAAAACGATCTTCAGTATTGTAAATAAAAATAAAAAATTAAGTAATTAATTTACTAAACATGGTCGACGACAAATAAAGGCGAAGCATATATTTCTTCAATGACAATTACAAAGCTAACTTTACAATGATAGATAGATAAGTATCGGTCAAAATAACACATTATTCTATGGTATATTATTTATTTAAACAAATAAATATTGGTACAAGGGGGCACCAGATATATATGAGCTACGCCTTCTATAGTATAAGGCTTTACAGTAAATCGATAACCTAATGGTTATACTTTTGGGTAAATTCAAAACGCTCTTCATTTATACCGACAAACGAGTTTTATAAATAGCTCTCATACACTAAGTGTGTCTTAAAGCTGGGCATATATCATCTTAAAGTTAGTTAATTCCTACAGAACACAAAAAGACTTGGATGTTTATTATCAGTTGTTGTTACTGCAAACCTTTAATATGAATGCGTGGAAAATGAGAATGAATTCGGATAGCAATTGATTAAAATAATAAAGAATACTAGTCGAATATCTTATAATTCATGTATTATGCAATTAAAACGAAAATTATTCACTATAAAGAACTAAGGTCAGTAACCGTGACCATATTTAGATTACACCGACGGAATAGCTAGCAGGAATAATGATTTACTTGCTAAAACGAGAAAAATATTAGTTTATTTCAGAAAGTAATTAAAGAATAATCCAAAATAGCTGCTTTATAAGCCACAACTAACATCAGAAATAAATAATAAGGGGAAGATTTTAGACAGTGACAATAGAACAAGCATAATTCTCCTAGTCAATGATGATAACCTGAAACTGTATGTGTTGATGATCCTTTTCAGATGCTATTAATTACTTAACCAGCTTTCATGTTAAATTTATTGCTAACTGACATCGAAATATAAGGCAGAACAAGAAACCGGGAAAGCAATTTGATCATTCATTTTGTATTCGTAAGCTTTCATGTGAGTGCAGTCTGTTTATGGTAATTAGTATACTGAAACATTTCACCTACTTTTTAAGGAATAGATATAACTTTATATAAAAAGCATTAGAGGTCGACCCAATATAGATAAGGTTTAGTTGATTTCAATGTAACCATATATATATGTCATTTATTCATATAAACGTCCATATACAGAATGAGTCGAGTTTTCATGGTGGTGTTAGTTTAATCAACTGAATCATTCAGCTTAAGGAAAGTAAATCTTCTGTAACTACAGAGACATGGTGATAACGTATTAAATCACAAGTGAATGACACGTACATATTAAGATGGAAAGCAGATAAAAATTATTCATCAGTTAGTCGAAACATTTGAACATCTGGCATGATGTTGGTCAGCCTAGGGTTTTATAAAAATAAGTGTAAGTTATTAACCAAGTGATCGATGTACTTGGTTTTTAAACGTACTTTAGGTGTGGCGGTCATTACTTTATTTCCTATCTTGATGATAACAATCGGGTTTGCATGGAGAAGTAGTCCTACAAAATATTACTTGACAATCCATAGGTCATAATTATTACCGCACTATGTAGATTCCAAAATTCTCAACAGAAAACTTCACTGTATTTGATATATCACGTATAGTAAAAAAAATAAATATTTGCCTTTGTAACTCATAGTGGTTAGACATATACAATTGATGCAAATATGCTAAATGAGTCAAACCGATTAGAACAATTTTAAACTACTTAACCATAAATTCTAAAGAGCAAAACGAAATCCGCTCAATTTACTTCTCATAGCAAAGTGAGAATATTTGAATTGCAGAAGTATAAAAATTTATACATGAACGTAGCGAATTTGATCTCAAAAGTGACTGATAAATATGGTTTAGTGGTTAGGGCGTTTTACTTCTATCCATTAAGTCATAGGTGAGAAATCGTCTCCTCTTACATTGATTTAGATAACCGGATAGCATCACTGGCCCTCATATTTAGAGTATGATCCAAAGCCAAGTATCTGGGAAATGAAATCAGTGCTTTTGTTTCTCGTCCATTTCTTTAGTTTGCATTACCAGCTGACTAAAGCTAGACAATCACTGAACACTAGTCAGTCCTCGATCCCTACTTTATCATAGTTTAAGATTCTCTTGCAGTTCATACAACTAACTCATTAATCCATTTGTATTGGTTATTTGAATCTTCCCATAGATGTTTAGGACCGCAATTGAGAAGTCTGCTTTGGCATACATACATCCTACGCAGATTGCCTCCATATTGCTATTAACTCATAAGCGTTATAAGCAGAATGTGTGGTTACTAGCAGTGGAGTCCAGAACTTACGCCCAGTCCTATTTAAAACTCGTCAGCTGCATGTATCAGCATCCCAAAGTTGATGTTCTCTCCGAGACCTAAACCTATTGCTTTTCGGTTTAAACTCCTGCATATTATGCACAGATGTAATAGCGACTGACCAACTGAAGTTCTAAACACCATTGAGAAGGTTCAAACAACCAATAAAAATGAATCAAAATTCATTTTGTACAAACCAGCGGTTATCAGGACTCAGTAGCTAAGTGGATAACGCGATGTCCTTCGAAGCGAACAGTACTGGGTTCAAGTCTCGGAGTGACTAGCAACTATAAGAAGCAGGTATATCCAGCTAACGAGTCTCAAATAGGACGAAATGAGCAACTTGGATTCCAATGCCATTCATCTCTGCATATAGTTCACTAATTCTTATGGTTGAGTTAGTCACTAGTGAGCATGAGACTGTATGTAATCAGAATTGTTCGATTGGAAAGCTGAGTTAGTAAAAGACTTAACAAACAAAATGTGGTACTTAAACATTGACATACCTGGGGACATTAATAAAATAGATGTCATTAATGCAACTTCTGTTTGGTCGATTTCAAGGCGAGCTAATTTCAATGCTACCGCACGAATCATCTGGGCACATTTCACATCAGAAGTGCCTAATTGAGGGTAAATATTATTTGGAATAACAGACGCAACATTGTGTTGATGTGAAGGAAGATTCTGCACAAAAATATCGACCGAATCTAATGGACTTGTTGTAGATTGTGGCTTGTTATGTCCATTAGAATCAACAATTCCAAGTGAGACAGCAATGCGACTTAATAAGTACGCAGCACGTAGAGTGATAATATCTAAGCAGCAGCCACGTAACAAACGCGTTTGATCGTTGGCATCTAACTAGAATAAATACAAGAAATATAAAACTAAGCATAAGGAATATCTGGAGAAGTTATGATGTGAAAGCACCAGTAAGTATAGTACAATTATCTTAGTCTACTACTGTTAACAATGACAGGTTTACAAATTTTATTTTGCTCTAGTTAAATTTTCTAATGATGTTCTGTGATAGTAAAGTTTGTTAAAATTTAAATCTATATTTACACTTCACTAGAATACAATAATCCGAATCCATAATCGAATACAAGCTTCAAAATTCGGCTTTTTTAGTACGAAGATCAGTGGTATAACCTAATTGTTCAAAGCCGGATTCGAACTATTGCCACTAATAACCGTTAGAAATCGAGTGTTTTAATCATTAACAGACACTTTCGTCATTTCCTTAGTTTATAAGAGAATAAAAATCAATTCAAAAACCCAAATCTATAAAACTTAAAAATAGTTAACTGACTTCATTTTCCCCTAAATTATATATACATATGCATACATATCAACAGTAATATTTCATACATACCAATTCAAATCCAGGAACTAATCTGGCGAATGCAACAAGTGATGCAATCATTGGTTCAATAAGTGAACTGATTTTTGAATCTGTTGAAGAATAGAAAGCTTTCTCAGGTTCTTTGTCAACATCTCCATTGTCAATCTATTTGAGAGAAATAAAAATGTAGATTTAAACAAGTAGAGAGACTAATATCATTGCAGTTAGTGAGCAACGAAACATACATTTATTGAGAATATGCAATAATGGATTAATTAACTATAGTTGTGAAATATATATAGGTTTAATTCTTACAAATTACAAATTATATTTGTTCATTAGTTTAGAAACCGAGAATCGATATAATTCATTCAAATTTCAATGATAGAAATAGTTGAAAATTGATTTATGACAATCACTAAAAGCACACTAGGATAAAACATCAGTTTTGTTTTGGTAGTCTAACTGATGTCAATCTGTGATGAATACTATCAACAAATTAAACGAATTCCGACCGAGGATAAACTCCACTTTCGCTCGCAGTTTTGACCTTTCACCTGGCAACCAACCAAAATGAAGCGAGGATTAGTATTTACGCTATCATAGCCCACAATGGATGGCGTGTTTTGTTCGCTGTAGTTTTTGCTGGTTTGCATGACGACGAAAATGTCACTCCATCATGTTACGGAGGTGTCAGTTGCAGCGCAGTCAGTCATAACGAAAGGGAAACAATATAGCAAAAGTCACACATCCAGTTAACACTATGATATAAATTATTCCAAAATATCTACAAGTGAGTGACTAAACGAACGAAAACGTAACCATAATTACTGACCATGATACACTAAGATGACTTGACAACGTGGAGTTTATCCACAGCCCGAATTCCTACATGAACCTTATAACCAAAAATCCTCGTAAACTAACAGTTAACTGTCATCTATGATTGTCCATTCTTTGTTCTCATTCTCTCTGTTTGCATTGTATATCTTGCGTTTAGTCTTCTATGACATTTGAAATTAACCCCATTCTGTTGTTTATTGTCTTGTTATAAATTCCTGTCGGATTCTAAGTTAACTATGATTGACTAGATATAACACTTCAGTTATCATAAGACTGTTTTCATTATGTGTAAAGCTGAAGATACTATCAAAAATATATATCTTTTGAAATCACTAAGGTGATAAAATGTCATACCCGTTCGTATGAGCTATTTTTCCCCAAAGTAAAACATTTAATCAATGCTTCAGTACTTCACAAGTTGGGTTTTATCCAGTAAATAGCAAGGATAGTTCAACAGCAACAAAAATTATGTTAAACTCACGACTTAATTAACAATTTGTTAAATGAAACAATCAGCTATCAACCATGGTGATATGTAAAGTATGACACTGCTTAGAAACTAACCGTGAATTATTTCACATCAGTCTATGAGCCATATTGCAGTGATGATCAACGACATTATGTAAATGCATAACACGAAATAAAGAAGTAGAAGTTAAGCGTTCATCCACCGCTACTGTGGAGGCATACTCAAAGTATGAGCTAGAACATCAAAATGTAACATAATTATCCAGTTATCCATTTATCAGGACTAGAAATTTACGGTAGATAAAACTCACAAAATCATATGTAAAAAATTAATGGGTAATACAATACCTTTCGTTTGAAGTTTGGATTCAACATATTACTATAAGCTTGAACAATAGAATCAACCATATTTTGATCTTCTGTTGTCCATGGGCAGTCATTATGCACTGTATCATTTGAATCCATCATACTAATATACTTAGGATATGAAACTGATAAATGATCTTTGATCGCTGGTTGATCACAAGATAATGTTTGACATTTCTCAGGTGTTATAGGAGAATACTGTTGAGGCTCATAATCTGTATTTGTTTGGACATTATTAACATTATTATTGTTAATTCGGTTATTATCTTCAGCATTCGTACACACACTTTGTTGGCTATTAAAATCATTATATTTACTTGGTAAGTTGCAGTAACCATCTTCACTAGAATATAATGGAGTTTTGTTAATTTGCATTGATACACTAGACAACTGAATTCCATTGATGGATTCTTTAAATGAAAGTGGGATTTTAGAATTATTGTTATCATGATTACTAGCATCATTCATGAAACACTGTTTATACGGAGCTCCGCATATAGGATTCCAGTATATGTTGTTGGGCATAGTAGTTAGTTGTAATTTATCGATTCTTTGAATAGGTTGTACAATTAATTGTGCTTCATTTGCAGGTGAATATGTTGCATCTGGAGTTTTTGGATCGACAAATGAGTGGCTATCATTGTTGGTTACCTCCAAATAACGTGTTTGAATAGGGTTACAGTTAAACTGACTTCCAGTTGTTGAACTGAGTGCAAATTGATTGGTAAAATGAGTATTAGGATGGATTGTAGAATGATAAGGAACCGTTGACATAATAACAGGTGTACTAGAGATGGTGTTCGATGTAGAGATTGGCTGATTGTGAATGAAATGATATTTTGATACTGAATTAGGATTTGTAAAATTAGGTATATTAATTGATGGATCTGTAACACATGCAGCAGTGGAGGCTTCCATAGCTTCAGCTCTTTTACGTGCTCGATTTGCTTCGATTAGACGACGTTTAGCTAAACGTTTATCTTCATCAAGTACGACTATTAGAAGAGGATTTTTATGAAAAAAAGACAACAAACATTTGATTAACATTGAAAATTGTTGCTTTCAAGTCAACTTCTTTGTGTTATATCGCAATGGTAAAATTTGAAGTCGAAGTTATATAAAACCTTTTATTAAGTTGTACACGAACCGTTAACCTACCAATATTCTACTGAATAATATTACTCATAATGTAACAGAATTAAATCAGTGACTTTGCTTTACAGCGATAATACAAATTAGTTAATGAATAGTTTAGGTTAGTAAACGTCAGTATTCATACAAATGCTAAATGTAAATAGTTCATTTCGTAAAGACAATATGTATTGGGTATTCATGGAAAACGTTAGTGGGATTCCTTATATGTGACGGTCTAGAGATGTAACATAGAATAGTGTAAAGAAATTCAGTAATGGAAATATACAACTAATATTTTCCATTTGTACGAGGATGGTACTGATATTAGAAGATGAATTATGCAGAGTGGCCACTTCGTTTTGTAGTTATCATTATATGAACTCTCGCGAAGCTAATTACATTGGTCAACCATGGGAACTTACATTTACTTGCTCGTGTCAAGGAAAAAATGTAAGATGACGGACGGGTTGACCTCAGTTCAGATTGTTTATAAAGTCGACATTAATCGACCGCTTTCAATAACTGATTGTATTTGTACTAATCTATAAAAATCCCTCGGGTCCATACTTCCTTATACTGGAGAAGCATTAAGCATTCCAGTACTACATTTAAAAGAAGCATGTCTAGCTTCTGCCCTTACCAGGGCCGCTCTTACGGTCAGTAATTCTGTATTCAGAAAAGTAAATAAACCAACTAACTTGTTAAAAACATAAAGATATTTCAACGTAGAGAATTTTCTTTTCCGAACAAAATAATCAGAAGTTGACTAAAATGATGCAAGTATTGAAAAATGAGTCACTTATTGACGAGGATCTATTCAAATACCTAAGATCAATGGCTTGTTTTATCCCGTGATTATATGGACTCTCAAAGGTATATGAAAAAGATCTTCGTCCTACCATGGATATATATAACTGTCCATACCACGCAACTGCCAAACATTTGGTGGAAATTTTACAACCTGCCATAAGCCAGATCTGGAGACATAGTACTTCTGACTTCATTATATCGAGAAAGAAAATGATATCACTAGACATCACTTCTCTATTCATAAATGTCTCACTGGTCATAACAAAATCGGCGTGAGCCTCCCAAAGCACTAAACAAAAGGATTAAACCTGCACTGTACTGAAATTTCGAAATGCAGTTTGGATTTGATGAAGATTTCCAGAACTAAATCGGTGGTGCCTCATTATGATCGCCATCGAGTGCTCTTCTGGCACACTGTTTTGTGACAAATCTGAAGAACCCTATAGTTTCGCCAAACAGTCGGCATATTTCACTTCTATGAGAGATACATGGATGGTACGTTGATCATATGACGAGAAAAGTGACCTTAGTAATATGTTACGTAGTCTCGGTAATTGCTAGACCTCAATAAGCACCAGCATAAAGAGAAGATATTTACTGATGCCGTGGGTAAGACCCAAGAAAAGAAGGATAAAAAGACAGTAACCAAAAAAGCCGAACAGGAAAGAGGAAGTCAAGACGCAGACCAAAAACACAGAAGTAGGCAAATGAGTGAAGGGATGCATTAATGCTGATAGGCGGAAATTCTTGGAAGACCTAGCAATGACATTTAGAAAAGTTGCACGAGACGGAACTTTAGGAAAACCATGCCATACAACGCAGAAACTAACACGAAAATATCGAAAACCAGAACGACCACTCAAAAACAAACATGACGAAACAATCACCGAGATTTTGAAATAACGAAACAGATTGGTGGGGTATTCAGAAGAGCTCTTGAATAAATTAACCTAACTGGACCCATTAGACGTCAAAGCAACACAGAAAACGCCTTAGCAACGTCATTGGATATATCAAGAACGTCAAAGTAGCGGACCCAGACAGGCGGACAAGCAACAACAAAGATGTTCAAAGCATTATTCAGAAAATTCTGAGAGCAAACATAACTATCAAGAGACTGGAAAGCGTGACCCCCTTCAAAATACCAAAGAAAGGAGATCATAGTAAGTACGAGAAACACAGGAGGATCACACTACTGTCAATACTAGGTAAGGTTTTGACAATCCTGCCAAACCCAACAGGAAATTCATTTGACGCCCGAATTCGGCACTACTAAGCTGGCCTCAGAATGGGTCAATCATGTACCGAACAAGCCGCAACACTGAAGATCGTTGTTGAACCATCGATTGAATGGGACTTATCACTGTACATCAATTCCCTTAGTTATAAGAAACCATTTAGCGTCATGGACCAAACAACCCTGCAAAATCTTCCTCGACATTATGGAGTAGCTGAAAAGATTGTTAGTATTATATTGATCTCTTACAATGAAGTGAATTGCGAAGTTCTGCATAGAAGGAAGCTCACGGATGCATTCCCAGTGAAGACCAGTGCCAGACAAGTCTGCCTCATCTCACCTCTTCTCTTCCTGTTGGCTATTGACTAGATTATGAAGACCTCTAAAGCTCACGAAAAGCACAGAATTTAGTGGACATCTTGAGCACAGCTGGTTTACCTGGACTCTGCAGATGATTTAGTCGTACTGTCGCATAAAGCAACAAATGCAAGTGAAGACACCCAGTGTAGCAGTGGCCTCCGCAGATGTAAGCCTCAACATTCACAAGGGAAAAAGCGAGATTCTGAAGCACAACATAGCGAGCACCACCAAAGTCACACGTGGTGCTCTGGGACACTTTGGGGCCTCATCTAACTGGACACCATCGTTGATAAACAAGGAGGATCTGATACAGATGTGAAGAGACGAATTGTCAAAGCAAGGGAGAGTTTCATGTAGTTGGCCAGTGTCTAAAACTCTGAAGTACTATCATGCATGATCCAAGTCAATTTCCAACATTTGAAACGTCAAAACAGTTCTACCGTACTGAGCTGAGAATTGGAGAACTACCCCAAGCTTCTGAAATAGAGTACAGGTATTTATAAATAGTTGTCTGTTGAAAATACTCTAGATCCGTTTGACCAGAGACCAGATAACAAATGAAGTACCGGCTAAGGAGGGAATTGGGAAAAGATGATTGAGGTGAATCGGACACAGTTTACGGAAACCATTAAACTGTATCACAAAGTAAGTCCTAATCGGTAGACTTCAAGACAAAAAGTAAGAGGCAGACCAACTAAACGTTTGGAGTCGAACATCAAGATCATCGATCGCACTTGGCAACAGTTGGAGAAAGGATCCCAGGACATATTTACTTGTCGATCTTTTGTCTGTGTTCTCCTATGTTTCAATATTGGTAACAGGCTTACTAGATGGAACTTTGATAATTCGACGAGAAATTCTCACTGAGTCGGAATTTATTTTTATTTTCAACTGGAAAAGATGAGTGACAAATGGTAAATTTCTCTGCTTATCAAAAATATACTATAATATTATAAAGATAGCTTAGTAACGGTTACTATGTTACGCGAATATACCTTATTCTAGCTTCTGGAAAATACAATTAATTAACTTTATCAATTATTCGCTTATCAACCTTTACTGTTTTTATATGAGCGTATGTGTGTGAACTTCTATTCTATTCATCACATGTCTGTGACTTATTTTTGTGTGACCACAAATGTCGATTAACGCTTGACTAAACTGAGTTGGCTCACACGCCTTCTCCATTGTGTGTTATTTCGCTCCGCTCTCTTCGCCTCTTCTACATTTTGTCTGAAACAACGATTGTATGAAATATACGTATTCATCATTCATTCTCGTATTTGACTTATTTAATTCCTTTGTTCATCAACACGAGTTACGTCGATGATCAGATACTGGGCGACTAAAATACTGTGGAATTCTACCCTTTGAGTGGATGTTCATGCTAACTAACAAAACATAATTCTCTCCAACATTTTCATTGCTTCATCATACTTTAAGTTGTTTTAATGCAATGTAAATTATTCCCAAATCGAATGTGAACTTGTATTCAGTTACATCATAATGTAATCATGAGAACATTACACATCGAAGCTGTGTACAGTGTGTTATGATAAACAGTCCCTCCAGCTAATGCGCAAATTAAATAATTCTGTGGATTAATTCACCGAACTTTTTATTCAAAAATGCATATAATAATGCATTTCATCTCTCCGAAAAAGACGAGATTATGGTTATTGTTATAGTTAATTGACGCACAGTTAAGTGTGCACATATGAAAGCCAGAATTCGCTTGGTCACATCAGGCTTTATTATCAATAACTGATAAAATTGATGATAGTGACCTTGTATATGTATGTATACATCTACACACTAGTATAAGCTACCATCGATTAATTATAATCATATGACCTCAGATAAAACACGCCTGATTTTCATATTGTAGACGCATGAAATATGAAAATAGGTTTAAACTTATGAAAAACAAAAGTTGACCTATGGCTTATAGACTTACATATAAAAATTACCACTCAAGTTATTAATTTTGTGATATGATAAATTATGAATTTATCGACCTAATTTCCCGTGTGAATTAGTATGACAAAACAATAACAATAATAATTACATACAATTAATTGGAGATGAGAAGATATAGATAAATCTAAATGTTACTTACGATCCTTAGCCATCCCGCCGCTAATGCATCTATCAAAGCGACATTTTTGACAACTATTTCGATTTTGTTTATCAGATACAGAGCAGTGACCTTGAAACTTGCAAGTATAAACCAATTTTTTCTGTACTGAACGTCGAAAAAATCCTTTGCAACCTTCACATGTCATAGCACGATAGTGAAATCCAGTTGCGTTATCACCACAAACAACACAAGGTTCAGGGCCAGCTAAAGGATCCATATAACTTGGGATGTAAGGTTCTCCTATAGTAAACGAAAAATAATTAGTCATATATATTAAAATGTACATAGATCATATGATATATATTATACATTGAACTCTTGATTAACTAATGTCTATAAGACCATGTATGCGTAAACATCAATGAAAATAATAAAATTTACTATTAACCAAGGTGAAATTACAAAACAACTTGTCAGAAGAGTAAATGTTGTTTGTTGTGCACATCTTATTTCCACGATTATTAGACATAACAATTTCATGACTGAACTCAAATTAGGACTTGAATAATTAGGCAGGTTCCTACCTCCATAGACAGAGTATAGAGCTTATAAGATAAAGACTACATTTTCTTATACTATCGAAATCCATGTTCATTTGTATCAATACTTAATATAGTTCTTCTAAACGGTTCTTTTTTATTAACAGATTTAGTATAAGTGACAAAAGTGATGCGCCTAACTGTTAATCACGCTGTAAATTATGCATACAATTTTCTTCACAAAATATAACTGGTCAGAGATAGATTTTTAGAAATCTGTAAAACACTTTATTTTTTACAAATAATACAAAAAGCTGAAACGATCATTTCTCAAGTATTTAGTCTTGAAAAATTTGTCCATTCATTTAACAGATTAATTATTTAATATGTGAGAAGAACACAAAAACATAAGTCACATATTCAGTTATAATATTCTTTTCTGTTTTGTTTTAATGAAATTCATTATCCATAAATTTAGTTTTACGTTTATACTTCAATTATACAGGGAAATTGTATATATTTAAAAAATAATAACGAAACTCTTTATTCTTCATGAAATGATGAACACTAAGTTGATCAATGATAAATTTTTTTTAATTATTTAAAACAAATCACTATATATGATGAATTAATTCAAATAGATAAATCAATATAATAATCAATTTATTTATTAATTATTTATTTTAACACAAAGATATTGGTACAAGGAGGCACCAAATACATATGCGCCACACAAATCTCATTCGATATGTGTGAGGGCTGTGATACTGCCCGGGTGCCCAAACCGAAGCAGGTAATAATCAATTATATAACTAAAAATATACAATAGAAACTAGAAAATTTAATTCGATCATTTAATGAGTCATATAAAACAGAAGTTTTATTAGTTTGGTACATACATTTTTTTTCTAAAAAAAATCTTTGTCCAAATAATATTGAGTACACAAAAGAACTCAATTGATTTATTAAAACTTCAGACAAATGATGAATGATTTATTTAGTCTAATATAACCTTCACCTCTCTGTCTAGGAAAAGCAATAATAAAAGGAAGAAATCTCATTAAGGTCAAACATTTTATTATTCTTTGTGCAACCGACTACATCAGATACAAGAATCTAGGTTTTAAAAAGGTTAAATAGATAAAGTTCAGTATGTTTAATGAGACAATAAATAAACCTTCTAATCAGAACAGCTCATGATGCACATGTGCCAGGACAAATTCGTGAAACCAATCCCTGAAAAAATGAAATAAAATTCATCTCCGTTGCAAAAACCAGTAGCCGTCTGAGCTTGGTAGCTAAGTGCATAACGTATTGGGTGTTTGGAGCTAAAGGCACTGGGTTTGGGTCTCAACGTGAAAATCAACACGGTGGTGCAAGTAAATCTAGCTGATGACTCTCAAAGAAAAAACGTACCATTAAATAGATTTCACTAACTAAATTAGCATACACATACATGGTCTTCTACTTTTTAAAAAAACAGGTTATGTGATCAAAATTGGATCAAACCCACATCGGGCCCCTGAATATACAATTCCGCAAAATATGGTGACCATTACCAAAAGTAGCTGATATCCAGAAAAGTCTAGAACAATGTTTAGCCCACTATGTAAAATAATCAGGGCATAACTCGATACTACATTTTAGACCACAGTAAATGAGAATAGATGAATATGAAATGAGAAAATTCGTTGCGAGGTTCATGTAGTAGGAAACTAACTGCCCAAGAACTTTGCACTGGGTACCATATATCAGAAAATTTTGACCAAGTTTTACTTTTCCCATGTTTACTTGGTTTTAGTGATACCGATTGTCCAAATACACATAACCTTTTGCGTTCACTAGTACAAGACGTACTGGTTAAACTTTCGAGATAAGTTAGCGAGAGACTAGAAGGCTATTTGAATTTCAATTGATCATGTAGAGTTGGAGGTTAAAATATTGTGATGTAGACTGACGATAATCATAACACTTAATATTATTATGTTTGTTGTCAAGGCAACGATTGTCAGACTACTAGAATATAGTTTATACAAAATTTCGAGTACTGACATTGAATACTAAATATCACATGCTAATTGTTGTAGGATCACCATAGGTATGTGAAAAATATAAAAACAAGGTTGTATTTAATTTGGAACACGGTATGTGGAACTTTTTCTAATTGAATTACAGATAAAGAAATTGATTTTGCGCCTCGAGTATAGTTTTAATAACGAACTGAAATTAAATAGAGAACAATTGAAAACCAGAAAGCCTTATGTAGGTGTTTCGCACGATTAAACAGTTTATCAAAAGTATACGTTCATCACTGCTTGATCAGATCAGGCTCGTAATATTTTGATCTCTTTCTGAGTTACAGCTAGAGAAGTGGAATACTAAATTTCATCCTTATAGTTTATTATCATATGTGACGTTATGATGAACACTATTTTCCAATTAATTTCATGATGTGTACAATTACTTGCATACCATAACTATAACAAACTTTGTCTTCTTATCGAGTTATCTAAATGAAGCAAATAAATTGATTGCTTTTAATATATTATTGATTTAAGAAGAGGCTTTTAGAATTTAACTATAAACTAAGTTAGAAGTTAATTCATATCTAAATCTTTACGTGCATAAATTAATTTCATATATAGTTTAATAATATTTTAGTAATTTTCTTTAATCAATTGCACAGAAGATAGATCTACTGATTATATATACAATCACTTATAAACTTTGAATAATCCATAATAATAATAATAATAATAATAATAATAATAATAATAAAGCAGTATATTGAGGAAGAGTGCATGTGTTCAATAACTATTACTTTTGGTCTGTTTTTATTTTGCATATTTTTGAACTTCCCAAAGCTAAGATGTTTTAGTCAGATAGCCTACAAAAACGTTGGAGACAGTTGCTAATTATTATTTAGTCCTTATGATCTAAGGGGACATTAAATAAAAATTTATTTATCGAGTTTTAAATCCCTTGTATGTGTGTATATATGCATACCCACGCTCACTGGCCAATGTTGACACGTTTCCAATCGAATTTGGTATTAAAAAGTAAAATTCTTTGTGTTTTTATTACCCCGTCTATGAGTTTCTTCAAACTATTAAAAGTAAAATATTTCATAATGTTCTTTGAATAACACAGATTGAAAAAGAAAAATTGTATTGTTCTATGTACACTACCCGTATACATATAAACGTATGTGGAACTGAGTTTAGTTAGTCAGTCTGATGCCCTTTGACCTATGATATGATTAAGGTCACAGCAAGTGTGTGTCCATATCTCTCTCCCTATATATATAGGTAAAAGCAGGTCATATATACAGTTTTAGCATTAACGTATTGATTTACATAGACATACTCTAAAGCTAAGATCTTTTAAGTTACCACGAATGCTAAACCGATAACTAGAGGTACGAACCTACGCACTAATGATCAGAATTTCAAGAAACTTGAGGACAAGTATGACAGAAATTGTATGATGAACTTTGAATACCTGTACATATGGATGATGTCGTGTTATTCAATAACCATGATAATTACTAATATAATTACACAAGTAGTTACGTGACATCATGGAAAGCTTTCATTTTATGGATTTTTAGTTAAATAAATACAGGTGAATTGTAATGATACGACGCGGATTAAGATGCTTTATTACATCAAGTCATTCCAGTCAGTCAGTCTATGTAGTTAACCATGGTGTCACATAACTACTTGTGCAATTATATTAGTAATTGTCATTGTTATTGATGCACACTACACCAAGTCATTTAGAATACATGTCTTCGGGAAACCTTTCAGATACCTACGAGTGAATAGAATGCTCCCTCTCTTTGTCCTGATATAGACTGTCTCAGACGTTATTGTTGTTCGGATGTACTTAGCCCACTCAAGACTTGACAACACTAATGATGACTCTAATAGGGATTATTAGGAAGTAAACAAATTAAACGATTAACTATTCAAACATGAGAGAATTAGTAGACAATATTTTATGTTAAACGCTGAAGGAAAAATATTGCAAAGCAATAAGAATACCGAAACCGAGTGGAACTGTAAGTCCTTTTTATAATGTAGTTTTTAGAAAATGTAATACAAACTACTAAACCCAAACTCATTTATGCAGTTTCGAATAACACTTGTTGAGATGATTAAATTTAATTCTCAAATTTCTTAACGAAAATAAATTAAAAAGAATATCGAATTACTACTGAGCCTAATGCATTGAATAATTTGGTGAGGAATAAGACCGAAAAATTAAAAATTGCAACATACATCGTCTATTGCTAGAAACCTGTATAATTAATTAATAATGACATCATCGATTATTTTCCGACAAGTACGTATGTACAATTCTCTGACATCAAATGGGTTTAGTTCTGTGAATGATTATGCATCATATTAAAGATGATTGAGTGGACTCATGATTATTATTAGAATCTTCAAACTCTTTTGATTAAACACCGAGACACATATGTCTTAATACTGACAGGGGGTCAAAAATTTTTAAAATAGAATAGTGATAGACTTAATGGAGGAGAAACTTTATAAATCCTCATTTAATAATTATATAAAGATAGTATTTAGTAACTTACTTTTTCTAATTTTAGGAGGATTTGACAAAGTGTTTAATTTTATCTGACATTTATTAGTTATATTTGAGTAACTTGATGGTGATTGTGAACCTGCATTCTCTTGAAAAATACTAGTTTCGGTATTCTGAGTAGTAAACGCCCGAATATCTTCCTTTAATTTATTTTCTGTTACAAAAACTAAAGACTCCATCGAAGGATGTAATGGATGATTTAAAGTTCGACTTTCGGTAGGTTTCAATAGTGAGTTTGTGTGGTATTCCAGTTGTACTGACTGTTTGTGGCTGTCGATTGTCGTGTGATTTAGAGAGATCAAGTCCATGTGTTGCGGTGTCTCAAGATTAATATGTTTGGACAGCATCTGTTTGTACTTCATGATAATCTACGTAATATGATAGACAACTGAAATATAGAGAGACAATATAAGTTCTAAACAAAATTATTTACAAAAAGGTAAACTTGAACGATTCCAGGTCAAACCAGGCTATCATAAACATGATTGGTTGAAAAAAATAGTCGAAGATTTAGGCCAATGGAAAATGAGATTAAAAATCAAAAAGAGCAGACAAGGAAAAAATACAAATGAAAAAAAGGTCAAAAAAATGAATGATCGATAAAAATAACAAAACGAAAAAGCAGTAAAATTAAACAAAAAAGAAAAAGCTTCAATACGACAAATGGAATACCAAGCAACACAGTAGTCTTCATCATCAATCTGTTCTATTCAACTTCAACAGACACAAGTCCGTCCGTCCGTCCGTCCGTCCGTCCGTCCGTCAGTCCTTCTCTCAATCCACCGGTTCATACATCAACATCAACATCAATTAAATCAATTCGCCACAATCACAATGTCACCAACTACACTGTACACTTTACTTTACTTCACTTCACTTCACTTCACTTCACTTCACCTCACTTCACGTCACTTCACTTCACAAATACGTGTTGGTACATATGCGCACGATTCTATGTGCAATTGAACACTGAACAGTTGTAATCGCTATCGTGTTGGTGTTCATGGTCATGGTTTTGGTGGTATTGGTAATGGTGATGGTATTGTTATTGTTATTGTTATTGTTATTGGTACTGGTAACGGTATTGTTAGTGGTAATGGTTGTGTTGTTGTGTAGGTGAGAGTGAGTCAATGATTGTGCACATATATACGTGTCAGCGCGTACACTGAGAGTTGTTCGGATAGATATGATGTAGTGAGTAATAATGCAATAAGTAGTTGTATTTTGAATTAAGTAGTATGAGGCGTGTTGTTTGTGTGTAGTAGAGTTGAAGTGATTTTGCTATTTGTCATATTGAGGTGGATGTAGCAAGTGGTTTGTATAGTGTGGAGTGATAAAAGAAAGTGGATGAAGTGGTGAGATGTTGGATGATGTGAATGTATAGTGTTGTGACTGAGTGATGCTTGCAAATGATGCAGTGAGTGCAATGTATGCGAGTGATGCATTGATGTGGTGTTTGATCTGTGCATGCTTATCGCTTCTCGGCTCTCTGAGCTAAGATCATGTGTAGTATCTGTTCTTTGCAGTGTAATTTCTGCAACGGTCTCTAAACTGAGACCAATGAAATTACCTGTATTTTTCACCTCCGGACGGGTGCTGTGAGCTTGCTCAACCCCGTCCACGGGTCGGCCTCGTATTGCATTACCTCGGGGATTGGCCCATTAATCAAGCAACACAGTTGTCTTTATCATCAATCTGTTCTATTCAACTTCAACAGACACAAGTCCGTCCGTCCGTCCGTCCGTCCGTCCGTCCGTCCGTCAGTACTTCTATCAATCCACCGGTTCATACATCAACATCAACATCAATTAAATCAATTCGCCACAATCACAATGTCACCAACTACACTGTACACTTTACTTTACTTCACTTTACTTCACTTCACTTCACTTCACCTCACTTCACGTCACTTCACTTCACAAATACGTGTTGGTACATATGCGCACGATTCTATGTGCAATTGAACACTGAACAGTTGTAATCGCTATCGTGTTGGTGTTCATGGTCATGGTTTTGGTGGTATTGGTAATGGTGATGGTATTGTTATTGTTATTGTTATTGTTATTGGTACTGGTAACGGTATTGTTAGTGGTAATGGTTGTGTTGTTGTGTAGGTGAGAGTGAGTCAATGATTGTGCACATATATACTTGTCGGCGCGTACACTGAGAGACGTGTGGATAGATATGATGTTGTGAGTGATAATGCAATAAGTAGTTGTATTTTGAATTAAGTAGTATGAGGCGTGTTGTTTGTGTGTAGTAGAGTTGAAGTGATTTTGCTATTTGTCAAATTGAGGTGGATGTGGCAAGTGGTTCGTATAGTGTGGAGTGATGAAAGAAAGTGGATGAAGTGGTGAGATGTTGGATGATGTGAATGTATAGTGTTGTGACTGAGTGATGCTTGCAAATGATGCAGTGAGTGCAATGTATGCGAGTGATGCATTGATGTGGTGTTTGATCGGTGCATGCTTATCGCTTCTCGGCTCTCTGAGCTAAGATCATGTGTAGTATCTGTTCTTTGCAGTGTAATTTCTGCAACGGTCTCTAAACTGAGACCAATGAAATTACCTGTATTTTTCACCTCCGGACGGGTGCTGTGAGCTTGCTCAACCCCGTCCACGGGTCGGCCTCGTATTGCATTACCTCGGGGATTGGCCCATTAATCAAGCAACACAGTTGTCTTTATCATCAATCTGTTCTATTCAACTTCAACAGACACAAGTCCGTCCGTCAGTACTTCTATCAATCCACCGGTTCATACATCAACATCAACATCAATTAAATCAATTCGCCACAATCACAATGTCACCAACTACACTGTACACTTTACTTTACTTCACTTTACTTCACTTCACTTCACTTCACCTCACTTCACGTCACTTCACTTCACAAATACGTGTTGGTACATATGCGCACGATTCTATGTGCAATTGAACACTGAACAGTTGTAATCGCTATCGTGTTGGTGTTCATGGTCATGGTTTTGGTGGTATTGGTAATGGTGATGGTATTGTTATTGTTATTGTTATTGTTATTGGTACTGGTAACGGTATTGGTAATGGTAATGGTTGTGTTATTGTGTTGCTTAGAGTGAGTCAATGATTGTGCACATATATACGTGTCAGCGCGTACACTGAGAGTTGTTCGGATAGATATGATGTAGTGAGTAATAATGCAATAAGTAGTTGTATTTTGAATTAAGTAGTATGAGGCGTGTTGTTTGTGTGTAGTAGAGTTGAAGTGATTTTGCTATTTGTCAAATTGAGGTGGATGTGGCAAGTGGTTCGTATAGTGTGGAGTGATGAAAGAAAGTGGATGAAGTGGTGAGATGTTGGATGATGTGAATGTATAGTGTTGTGACTGAGTGATGCTTGCAAATGATGCAGTGAGTGCAATGTATGCGAGTGATGCATTGATGTGGTGTTTGATCGGTGCATGCTTATCGCTTCTCGGCTCTCTGAGCTAAGATCATGTGTAGTATCTGTTCTTTGCAGTGTAATTTCTGCAACGGTCTCTAAACTGAGACCAATGAAATTACCTGTATTTTTCACCTCCGGACGGGTGCTGTGAGCTTGCTCAACCCCGTCCACGGGTCGGCCTCGTATTGCATTACCTCGAGGATTGGCCCATTAATCAAGCAACACAGTTGTCTTTATCATCAATCTGTTCTATTCAACTTCAACAGACACAAGTCCGTCCGTCAGTACTTCTATCAATCCACCGGTTCATACATCAACATCAACATCAATTAAATCAATTCGCCACAATCACAATGTCACCAACTACACTGTACACTTTACTTTACTTCACTTCACTTCACTTCACTTCACTTCACTTCACTTCACTTCACTTCACTTCACAAATACGTGTTGGTACATATGCGCACGATTCTATGTGCAATTGAACACTGAACAGTTGTAATCGCTATCGTGTTGGTGTTCATGGTCATGGTTTTGGTGGTATTGGTAATGGTGATGGTATTGTTATTGTTATTGTTATTGTTATTGGTACTGGTAACCGTGTTGGTAATGGTAATGGTTGTGTTATTGTGTTGCTTAGAGTGAGTCAATGATTGTGCACATATATACGTGTCAGCGCGTACACTGAGAGTTGTTCGGATAGATATGATGTAGTGAGTAATAATGCAATAAGTAGTTGTATTTTGAATTAAGTAGTATGAGGCGTGTTGTTTGTGTGTAGTAGAGTTGAAGTGATTTTGCTATTTGTCAAATTGAGGTGGATGTGGCAAGTGGTTCGTATAGTGTGGAGTGATGAAAGAAAGTGGATGAAGTGGTGAGATGTTGGATGATGTGAATGTATAGTGTTGTGACTGAGTGATGCTTGCAAATGATGCAGTGAGTGCAATGTATGCGAGTGATGCATTGATGTGGTGTTTGATCGGTGCATGCTTATCGCTTCTCGGCTCTCTGAGCTAAGATCATGTGTAGTATCTGTTCTTTGCAGTGTAATTTCTGCAACGGTCTCTAAACTGAGACCAATGAAATTACCTGTATTTTTCACCTCCGGACGGGTGCTGTGAGCTTGCTCAACCCCGTCCACGGGTCGGCCTCGTATTGCATTACCTCGGGGATTGGCCCATTAATCAAGCAACACAGTTGTCTTTATCATCAATCTGTTCTATTCAACTTCAACAGACACAAGTCCGTCCGTCCGTCAGTACTTCTATCAATCCACCGGTTCATACATCAACATCAACATCAATTAAATCAATTCGCCACAATCACAATGTCACCAACTACACTGTACACTTTACTTTACTTCACTTCACTTCACTTCACTTCACTTCACCTCACTTCACGTCACTTCACTTCACAAATACGTGTTGGTACATATGCGCACGATTCTATGTGCAATTGAACACTGAACAGTTGTAATCGCTATCGTGTTGGTGTTCATGGTCATGGTTTTGGTGGTATTGGTAATGGTGATGGTATTGTTATTGTTATTGTTATTGTTATTGGTACTGGTAACGGTATTGTTAGTGGTAATGGTTGTGTTGTTGTGTAGGTGAGAGTGAGTCAATGATTGTGCACATATATACTTGTCGGCGCGTACACTGAGAGACGTGTGGATAGATATGATGTTGTGAGTGATAATGCAATAAGTAGTTGTATTTTGAATTAAGTAGTATGAGGCGTGTTGTTTGTGTGTAGTAGAGTTGAAGTGATTTTGCTATTTGTCATATTGAGGTGGATGTAGCAAGTGGTTTGTATAGTGTGGAGTGATAAAAGAAAGTGGATGAAGTGGTGAGATGTTGGATGATGTGAATGTATAGTGTTGTGACTGAGTGATGCTTGCAAATGATGCAGTGAGTGCAATGTATGCGAGTGATGCATTGATGTGGTGTTTGATCTGTGCATGCTTATCGCTTCTCGGCTCTCTGAGCTAAGATCATGTGTAGTATCTGTTCTTTGCAGTGTAATTTCTGCAACGGTCTCTAAACTGAGACCAATGAAATTACCTGTATTTTTCACCTCCGGACGGGTGCTGTGAGCTTGCTCAACCCCGTCCACGGGTCGGCCTCGTATTGCATTACCTCGGGGATTGGCCCATTAATCAAGCAACACAGTTGTCTTTATCATCAATCTGTTCTATTCAACTTCAACAGACACAAGTCCG